CTGTCCAGGACAATGGGTGATCCCTAGGGGTGAAGTGGCAGCAGTTGGAGCTCTACATTTCCAACAGTGAAAAGAGAACAGGGATTATTTTCCTGATGCTGAACAGACACATGCAGTCCCTAGGTGTTGTTCCAGTCCTGGAAACACTGTGGCAGGGACAGGCAGGGACATCCTCAGTCTGACCTCCTGCTCAGAGCGGGATGCAACCAACACAACATCATATTTTCTATGGCTTTGTACTTCAGATCCCCAGGTCTGGAGATCCCTTCCCTGGGCTGCACAGAAATTCTTCTTGCTGAGCATCCTTAGCCTGCCAAGCTGTAGCCAACAGTCCTTATCCCTTAGAACCCAGACTGCCAGCAGCTCCAGGACAGATCTCTCGAGTTTTGCCCATAGCCAGGACTCCGGTTTAATTCTGGGAAGTCCCATGTGTGTCTCAGACAACAGTGAAGTCTGTAGCACTGGGTAAATGACTTGTATCACACTCCAGATCATCTATCCTTTGTTCCTTGGTCTCTAAGGCCCATCGTGGTCCCTTGGGGGTGACAATGCTGCCCTCCTCTACAAAGGTGCTGGGAGACAGCTGATGGGAGAGGCAACACTGGAACTATGAGTGTAGTGTGTGTATGGGAGGAACAGGGCAGCCCTGCCTGGCCCTACTACCCAGTGTTTGTTAAAGTGATCTCAAATCCATCATTCTCACTTCTCCCTTTCACACCAGGACTCTGAGACACACCCAGTTTGGGATGAAGCTTTGGTGGGCACTGGGACTCAGTCAGCATACCACAATGACTCCATCTCTATTGTGATCCCAAGCTCTGCTTGGACCTGTTACCAGAAGGGATTCCCACAGTGCCAAAAGAGAATGCCATCTCTTTCCCCAAGGACAGTAGGACTCCTCCAGCAGGAAACTCTCCAAGTTTGATTTCTATCTTCAGTTTTACAGCTCTTTCCGTCAAACAGGTAAACCAAGCACATCATGGAACCGGGTTCTGGGGGCGGAAAGTTCCTGCAGCACTGGTTCACATTCCCCCAGGAACATTCCCTAGCTCCAACACAGGACCACAGGGCACTACAGTGTATCTTCTCCTTGTGACAGTCTCAGAGAAAGAGGGACAGGCTTTGGCCTTTGTCTCCTCTAGTTGCAAAATACAGGAAGGACAAGAAGCATGAAACCCCCCAGAGGCAGGTATTGCAGGAGATACAGTCCATGCTGCACACCTAGGACTGGGGCTGTGAGAGATACAAAAATGCAAGCTTTTGTGCGGCAACACACCGCTAAGAAAGGAAGTGACACCCAATGCTCCTCTAGTACACCTGTCCTGTCAGCTTTCTCCCGCTCCTCTACCAGCTGGGATGAGGCCATGAGTCACCACACAGTGTCTGGTCCAGCCCTGCCGCTGCTCCACACCCCACCCAACCTGGCACCACTTGCCAAGGGCCTCAAAACAACATGACAGCTGATTTCCACCAGCTTCCTCCAAGGTCCTTTTAAAATTCCCAACAATCTCTCACTGGCAGGACTCCAAGTTTTACCAGGCTCACTTCTGCACGTGGGTCCTTTATTGCTTTACCTACCTATGGACTTGGATCAGACGTAGATAGTATGGCACAGCCTGCTGGCATGGGGAGCGTACAGGTGATGCAGGGGTAGCATCACCCCTATAGAGGCACATCCTGCCCCATCAGCACTGAGAGATGATCCATGTACTTCTCAAAGGCACTTTTGCAATTGCGAAACCTGCCCACACCAACAAAATGAGTGTGTGCATGGGGATGCCACTCTTCCATGATGAAAACCATTAAATTAAATTAAAACTGGGGCAAGAGCCTTGCTTGTGTCAGCTCCTCAGCATACTGGAGCTTGGCACCTGACAGCCTTTGGAGTGGGAGCAGCCAGCCTGGCAAACAGGCTGAACAGCCCCAGCTTGCTGCAGGCAGGTTGGGGCAGCACTGGCAGCTCCAGGAAGGAGGTAACCCAGGGATGAACTCACCACCACTCAGTCACCTCACCAGGACACCCTTCAAAGGGAAGCCCTGCAGGCAGAAAGGCTCAAGACGGAAGGACGTCATTTCACCATGTGCTGCTTGGGACACCTCATCTTCCTGGGAAAACACCCTTCTCCCAGCCCTCCTGGCAGGCGAGTCTGGAAGGTGGCCAACTCTGTTGCAGAGCCATGCCTAATGTGCTTAAACCCCTAGTTTGCCTTCACCAGCCCTTGTAAAGCCCTTTTCAAGCCCCCAGTGTGTGTAAGGAATAGATGAAGGCTACTCCTGGCAAGGCCTAGGGTGGGCCCCTCTGTAGAGAAGTAGTATAACTTGTGCAGTAAGTCTGCCCCATCCCCAAACCTCCCAAGCCTCTGCAAGTTTTTCAGGGTGCTCTCCAAATCTCCACAGCTTGTGTTACTGTGCCCATCAAGTGGCCATAGTTGAGGTTCTGCCCCATGGGAAGAGCAATGGGAGCAGCCTCACCCCATCAGACTGGTAAAAGGGGCTTTTGTGTCCTGCTCCTTAATCCTGCTTCTGAAGAGAGAACATGTTTCAAAAATCAGGGGAGGTTGCTAAGGGACAGTGTGCTCAGCAGGGACATCGCTCACAAACCCTCAGCACTCAGAAGTAGGAGGTAAATAACTTGGGATATTATTAATCCTTCACTGCCCACACAATAAACAGAAATGTATTATTCTTGTCAAGGACAATGGAGCCCATATTTCCCCCCAGCCAAGGAGCTGAACCAGCAAATTTTTTTGATTCAGCTCCACAGTGGTTCAGCTTTGACAGAAGTTGTTCCAGTTGAGTTCCTGTTCAGGCCAATAAAGGTTCATTAACCATTTTTTAGCTGCAAACTCATTTCAGCCAGTTCACACTGGAGAACACAGCCTGTGTAAGCAGCTGTGTGATGGGGACTGAGCCTTTTTCAGCCCATCCCTGGTTTCCATGGCCTCTGCTACCTTCGTGGTTGGACTTCAGAGCTTCTTGTCAGCTCAGCAGAGATGACACGCAAGGTCAAAAGACAGAAAAGCTAAATTTTGCCCTGGAAGTCTGTAGGAAATCTGCACTGTGAAGGAAAAGTGGGCATGTGGGGGAACTGAGCTTCCTGGGCTCTTCCTGGCACCAGCGCCTGCACAAACAAAATTTGAGTCAGCGGCTCCTAAGTCACAAGGAACGCTGGAGGATTGCATGTTCCTGTCATTACACTCAGAAATTAGACTGTTCCATACATTAAATATCTTTAGTGGCCCACAAACTGAATCTGGGGACAGCCAGGGGTTATTTAGCAAGAAATTGCTTAGAGCAGCAATCTGAGGTCCCAGGAGAAGATGGGATCCTGTGTTGGCAGCTGCTCCATGGCCACATAGCTGTTCACAGGACATTGAGCTGCCATTTCTCCCTGCAGAGAGGCACGTGCAGGGCACGGCTGTCAGAGAACCGTCTGTCCTGCTCATGGCTATTCCCAGACAGCACCTGCACAGCTTTATCCATGACAGCACCTCCGAAAATAATGCCCCAGCATCAGCAGCAAGGCAAGGGGGGCACTGGGGCTCAGCAGCCAGTGCACTGCAGGTTCACATCCAACTCACTGCGTGCTAACAGTGTCAGAAAAGGAGATCTTGGTTATATTTATCGTTTGACGATAGTGGTCCCCACTATTTTTAGAGTGGTGTTGCAGCTGCAGCTTCCTGAGGAGAGAGGAAAACCAACTGGGGGACTGAACTTTACCGAACTTCACCCAAAAGTGATGAAGTCAAGGCATCTCTTCCGTGACCTAAATGGCCCGTGGTCAGGCTGGTGAGCTGTGGGGTGGATCCTGCTGGCACCCCCACAAGCGGGTGGCACTGCCCAGGTGCCCCACGGCTGCTGGGTGTTTCGGTATCTCCGAGCAGCCATATCCCAGGGGGCAGCTGCCCCCTCGGGTCCGGTGCCCACAGTGGGCTCTGGCACAGGCCGGCACAGCCCGGCAGTGTGGGTAGATGGCCCCGGCCTGTGGGGCACCAGCACCAGCTGCGGAGTGGGGAACACCAGGGTGACTCCACTCGGGACATGAGACAAGGGACACCGCGGGGGTCTCACTTGGGGGAGGCCATACCCATGGGGCCAGGGAGGGCCATCTCTGGGGCTGGCACAGCTCGCATGCATGGTGCTGGGTGAAGGGTGACTGCGGAGCTGGGACATGCTGTGCCCGTGGGTGTGTGCACGGGTGGGACACGCCGTGGCTCCGTGGGGCTGGGGGCACCTCTGGGGTGGGACGTGTTAGGGACGAGACGGCTGCCCCTGGGGTGGCTGTGCCCATGGGGACATGCCGTGCCCGTGAGGTGGGACCCACCGTTCTCGTGGGGCCGTGGCTGTGGGTGGGACATGTTGTGCCCTTGAGTGGGACATACCGTGCCCGTGGGGCCGTGCCCGTGGGAGGGACACGCCGTGGCCATGGGTGGGACATGGCGTGCCCGTGAGGCCGTGCCCGTGGGTGGGTCACACCGTGCCCGTGGGTGAGACACGCCGTGTCTGTGGGTGGGTCACGCCGTGCCCATGGGTGGGACACGCCGTGCCCGTGGGTGGGACACGCCGTGCCCGTGGGTGGGTCACGCCGTGCCCGTGGGTGGGACACGCCGTGCCCGTGGGTGGGTCACGCCGTGCCCGTGGGTGGGACACGCCGTGTCTGTGGGTGGGTCACGCCGTGCCCATGGGTGGGACACGCCGTGCCCGTGGGTGGGACACGCCGTGCCCGTGGGTGGGTCACGCCGTGCCCGTGGGGCCGGGGGTCCCCCCTGAGCCCTCAGGGTCAGGGGCAGCAGTCCCGCCCCGCGCCGAGCCAGGCCCCGCCCACGCCGCCGCCGCTGACCAATGAAGCGCCACTCCGCCTGGACCCGCCCCTTCCCCGCTGTCATCACACTCCCGCACGTGGAGGGGGCGGGCCGTAGGCGGGGTCCCGGCGCAGGGCTTCACCGCCATTGGCCGCGCGGCCCCGCGGCTCACCCGCCCCGCGCCCTGCCCCGCCCAGAGCACCAATCAGCGCGCGGGAGGCGTGTCCGCAGCGGCACCCGGAAGGAACGCAGGAGCCGCGCACAGTCGGGGCCGCGGCGGCAGCGGCGGAGGGGGCGCTGGTGGGTCCGGCGGGGCCGCGACGGGCAGGGCCGGGGGGCGCGGGGCACGACCGGGCTCCGGTGGGGACGGGCCCCCCCTGCTGCGTGCGAGCGGGTTCGTGCGCCCCATCTCTGCCGCCATCCTCCGGTTCCAGAAGGTTCGGGAGGGCCGTTGGGACCGGGGGCCCAGACCGCAGGGGCGAGCGGGAGCTGGGGGAGGCGCGACCAGGAGGGGCCGTGATCGGGTAGTATGGGGGAGGTCGTAAACGGAATGGGCAACTGTGAGCGGTGGGGGGCCTTGACCGAGATGGGGGTCTCTAAGCTGGGGAGATCATGACCGGGATGGGGGTCTGTGAGTTTGGGGGACTGTGACCGAGGTGGGGAGCTGTAGCCGGGGCACTTGGGCCAGCAAGAGGCCTGGCACCGGCGGAGGCTGTGGCAGGAGGTGCCGAGGCGGGGGGGTCAGGCGGCGGTGTGACCGCAGAGCGACTTTGGCGGGCGGGGGTGCCCGGGGGAACTGAGGCTTCGGGAGGGCAGTGTCTGGCAGAGGCAGGTGTGGACCGAAACGGGGTGCAGGCTTTGCTGCGGCGTGTCCCCGATCCCGGCTCCCAGTTCCCCGGCAGCTTAGGGAGGCTGCGCTGCCCCTGGTCTCGCCCACCAGGGCCACGTCCTCTGCGCTGTGACATGAGCTGGGACAGCCTGTCTGCAGCTCTGCTCGCACGATGGGGCTTCCTCCTCCTCCTCCTTTTTCTTACTCCCGCGGGCATTAGCTCCAGCCCAGCTGGGACGTGGTGGGTTGTCCTGGCACGGCCCGCGGCACCGGGGCCGGGTACCCCGGGGGCGCGGGAGGCGCGCCTCGGGCGCACCTGCCCCGGGGGTCCTTTCCCAGGCCCCGGCGTGGGGTGCGGGGTGGGCGCCGGGGCGGATGTGAACCCCGGCATCCGCCGCCCTCTGGTGACAGCCAGCCGCGGGCGGAAGGGCCTGTCGGGGGCAGTCACCCACCCGAAATCAGCAGCTGCCGACCTACCGAGGTTTTCAAGCATCTTGCGGGTTTTATACAGAAACGGCAACCCGGGTGTCATGTTTGGAAAGGTGGCCTATTAGGGAAGTCAGAGGGAATGGCTGCATGATGATTGCTGTCGAGGTTGGCTTGCTCACAACCCACCCGTGAACATAATCCATCAGTATGAAGGGCACACACCTCCAGGGTTTCCACACTCCTTTTATTATTTTTCTTTGAAAGAAGGTGTGTGGAATTTGCAGTTGCAGTGGAAAGTGTATGGTAGAGGAATGTTGTGCTCTAAATTTAAATTTTAAAAGTAATTTCCACTCATTGCCTTTTTAAAAACATCAGACAAGCAGAGATGTGCTTGCAGACCTGCCCTCCCCCTGAATTGTATCTATTGGCATCAGCAAAGAGGGAAAGTTGGGAAATTGTGGAGATTGTAGCAAGCTTGAACCCTGACACAAAGCAGTGTCTTGGCAAGCTTGGTAGCACCAGGAGGTGAACAAGGTCCGGCAGGGGACATAGAAGAAAACTCCCAATGTGATAGTGCTAGAGTTACTTTTGGCAGGGCTGGGCTTTACGTTGAGGACTGGGAGAATGAAGTCATCCTGTAAAGCCTGGTCACTGCCTTGTTTCACAGCAGCAATTCCCATGGTTTGGGTCTCAGCATGAGTGAGTGGCGGGGCGCTGGTGGGGACTCTACATGTGCCAGCATGCAGTCCCAGCACTAGGGCAGGGCACTGGTGGGAGTTGGCAGAGCTAGGGGTTCGGATGGGGCTGGTTCTGAGGGACGCTGCTGCCACAGTGTTTGTTGCCAGGGTGTCAGCACTTGCCCTCGCCTGACCTCCAGCCCCTGCTCCCATAACATTTAACCGTAACACTGGATTCCTGCTGACTCTGGTGGGGCCTGGACATGTCCCTTCCCATGGAGACCAGAGTGGTCAGGACAGCAGAGCCCTGCTGTCACCACAGCTGTGCCCCTTGGTGAGCTGGGCTTTTGGACCAAGGTCCAGCCACAGCTGGAGCAGTGCTGGGGCTGTTTCAACTGTACCACTCACCCGCCTTGTTTCTATTCCTCATGTGAGAGGTTTCTTACCCACTGAAGGAAGGAAATCTGGTGGGGTCACTCTGTACTGTGGGAACTCCATTGTTCAGAGGCACAGCTTACTGAGGAGAAGCACATCTTTGCCCCGGCCTTCCTCCTTGCTGTCTGCTGCAGGCTGCTTGCCCTGGCACATTTCTGCATGACTGTGCTGAGTACCAGAGGCCAGAGATACCAAACTTTGTTCTTTGAGTCTGAGGGTGATTGAAGAGGATGGTTATTGACCTGAGTCTTCAAAGTCAAAGACTCTTGGCTCTTCCCAAGTCCTTTACATGTTCTTACTGCTCTGGGCCTGCCCAGGTTTGTCCTCTGCTAGATCTGGTTGACACCATTGTGTGCTATGTGGAAATGCACTGTGACTGGGTGCCAGGACACTTCCTGATGCAGAATAAGAAAACCTGTTGTTGGTAGGTATGTGACCACAGACAAGAAAGGAGAAAGTGAAGCCATATGGTTAGAAAAGTGGTGTCCTCAGCATGCTGTCAATGGAGCTGTAATGAAATTATCAGAGGCTTTGGTAGCTGGAGGAATTAATGAGTCGGGTTTGAAACAGGACAGATGTGAAGGGCAGCATGGGAGAAATCCTGAAAGGAGATATTTGTATGCTGGCAGATGGTTTGTAACAGGTTACTTAGTGAGATTGTTGCAGGTTACTTTGTGAGAGTCTTCTCTGAGAGGCTTTTGCCTGATGTCTCTCCACGTTGCATGATTCCCAGGGACCCCCTTCTTCCAGGGAACTGTGTGGACCTCTGTATCCTGGTAATGCCATATTACCATGTTTCTGATCCTTCCTTCTGTTTGGAGTGACTGGCACCTCTGGTCCCTGGCGCCTATTTTCTGACCAGCTCAGTTCCTTTGTTATTTCATTTTGCTTTTGCTCGTGATCAAGGGAGCCAGGTGAATATAACCTCCAGAGAACTTGGTCTCACAAAGTTTGAGGCCTATTTTAAAAATTCTTTTCTTTGACGGGGAAGTGTCTCTGCTCATCCTCCCTTTGGCTTTGCCCCTCTCTTTCACAGTCTCTCTTGCTTGGCCTGTGGATGCCCAGCTGCCAATTAACATGTTTTCCCCCTGTTTCCGTCTGCATCTTCAGCTGGTTGTGAATCCTGAATGAAGAGCAGCTGGGCTCACATGCTCTGTGTTTCAGAGACCTTTTTCAGGACTGGCCAGTGGTTTGCAGTCATAGTTGCCTGTGGCCTGGACACCCCCCCAGCTAAACAGCATGATGATAGAACAGTACTTGGATGGGAAACCTTCAAAGGAGTCCTGTGTGCTGGAAAATGGGAAGCTAGTGATTCAGCTGGAAGTGCTTTTTAGTAACAAATCCATGTCCTGGGCCAGGGTTGATGTCAGCCCTGAGATTCTTGTTGGAAGTGAACAAAGATGCAAAGCCCTTTATGCAAGAGCTGAGGTGGTAATCCTGATCTCCTGGCCTCAGTCCATTTGGGGTAATTGCATTCTTCCTGGGTAGTGTTTTCAACCCATCCCTTTCAGATACATTGCTATCGCTTCCTGTGCTGCTGCAGTATGTGGGTGGCAGTACTTCAGCCATGTCCAAAGCAATTCTTGTCACTGCTCAGTCTTAGTGCCTTTTGAGCCATTTCTGAATGACAGTGTGCTAGAGGAGGGACATGGTGGAGGGTTTTTTATATATGTATATTTATATCTACATATGCTGCATTTACTGGGTCTTGTTCTGCTTACAAGCTCTCCAGACCAATAGCCCTTGTGCCTAGCTGGTACCGTTTCCAGATGGGACTTCTCCTGGGATGCCAGTGCAGGTGTTATTAAGCACAAACTTTCTGGGTGCCCTCAGGACAGTCTTAAGGGCTGAAGCCCCAGCAGGGTAGTGAGGGCATGCCTCCCTGCACCACGGTGTGAAGACTGTGTTTCTGGGGCACTAGCAGCCTGTCTGCCTGCAATGCTCTGCTCTTTGGCACAGCGGTTCTGGTCACACCAGGGCTGTGCTAGGGTGGTTGCCTGTGTGGATAGTCAAGCTAGGGAGCAGGGACTGCCTCACAACAGCTTTTGCCCATCATGCTTGCAGCCACGGGAAGGTCAGACCTGATCCTGGGGAGGCTGATACGATCCTGGTTTCCAGGACCTGCTATGCATGAGGACCTAGTCCCCACAAAGTGTGATCTCTAATGGTCCGCAATTAAAGCACTGTGAGCCTGGGGAGGAGACTTAAACAACATCTTTGTGATGGTGTTGGCAGGCTTCTCGGAGATTTCTATTAAGCAATTGTCATTTTCTCCCTTCTCTGTAGCCTGGGAAACGCTGCGGTGTTGGATTTGTCTTGGTCTATTTGGCTTGTTGGGAGGGGTGTCTCTCCAGCACTGGAGTTTGTCCCTCCCTGCCCTGACTCTGTGTCTTCATGGGGTAGCTTAGCAGGTGGCCTGTGGGGACCACAGCCAGCGCCTCTTGCAGATAAACCATGTGCCAGTGCACCCACTCGAGTACAGCAAAGCCTGTGTGGTGGAGAAACCTACAGCTGTGTGGGTGGACAAGAATAAAGCCAAAGGCACAGAAAGGCCTTTATTTCCCACTGAAATCTGGGCAGGGATATCGTGGATGTGACCTTAGCAGTTCTCTCTGGAGAGCTGGCTGTGCACCTACCTGGAGTCATGCAGGGAACTGGGGGGTAGCTGGAACCCAGGAGGGAGTCTGGGCTGCATCTGGAGGGGCAGCCTCAGCACTGGTAATAGATGTGGTGGGATCTTTGAGCTGGTGGGGAGTTTGCGGTTTCTCACTTCTGTGCATGGGCCACTAACTCACTTGGCTTGTAACTGGGTGGGCAGTAACTGCTCACCCAGTGTTCCAACTGAACCTTTGTGTGGACTTCTCTTTCCAGGTGACCCACGACTGCCAGATCAAGCAACCTCAAGGCCACACTGCGAGGGCTGATAGCTGAGAGCTGCCTTCTCTGTCTGCTTCAGCCCTACACCAAGGTTAGCAACATTCAAACATCACTGATTTCCCTTGCCTCATCATGGCTCTGTGAAGAAACGGGGAACTCTGTGCTCTTCTCCCCTTGGCTCACAGGGATAGCTCTGTAAAGTAGATGTCACCCAGGTGAGGTTCTTCCACAGCCAAGGTTTTTTGGGTGCTCCTGCATCCTACTTGGCTATCAGCATGGCAAATGGAACCTGTATGTATGAAACCAGTATGTGTGAAACCAGTGCTGCTAAGACTGTTGAGCCCTGCACACAGTTGTCAGGACCTCAAGGGTGATGTGATCTTGGGAACTTGCAGTCTGTACTGTTTGCCACACTTGTCCTTCTGCATGACAGCAGGATTGAATTGGGAGCATTTCCCAGCTGCAGGCCCCTGCTGTCCTTCGCCTGAACCCAGCTGAGGGTTTACTCAGAGCTTGTGGCAGATGTAATCGTGCTCTTTATTAGCAGCATTTGGGTTTTTCCTGCATTTTCCCAGGACTTTGTAGCTTGGCTTTGGTGTGTGAGGCTCAGAGGAAGTGTTTCAGGAGGACCAGCAGTTTTTGTATTCCCACTGGCAAGAAATATTACCTGCTCCGAGGCAACCAGCCTGGAGCAGCCTGAGATGGCTGTGAGCTATCTGCCCTGTCCATGGAATCTTGTGTGCCTGCCTAGAATCCAGCAGTGCACGGTGTGCTCTCACCTGAAAGGGAGCCCTTGTCAAGACTGTGCCTATGGCAGGGCAAGAGGAACCCTTCTTTCACCCTAGAGCTCAGGTGTGATTTGGCCAGGACAGATTATATGGGGAAGACATAGTTTAGGAGGCATAGCTGCCCAGGCTCTGCAGCTCTTCCTCTGAAGGTCTGCCAGAGAAGCTGAGACCAATCCAGAGGCAGCTGAAAACTGGGCTTCAGGCCATCTCATTCTTCAGCCTGATGCTGAAGTGGTACCCACAGTGGCTGAGGCAGGCATAGATTTACCTGTGAAGGTGAAAGGAAGGAAAGAAGAAGTCCTTTGCTCATGCCAGTGCCCTGTGCTGAAGATTAGCAATCACACAATGCAGTGGGAGGAGAGCAGCCCCTTTATCCATCTGGGTTGTGGCATTCACTAATACCAGTTCCATGGTGGGGTTTTATATCTCTCTTAGTGATGAGAGACACGGCAAAGACCAGAGAAAAGGTTAGCACTCAGTTCTGCTGGAGCTGCTTGTAGATCCCAGTCAACTAAGTTCACAGCATCCTCTCAGGGCTTCCCTACCTTTTAACAAGGGCACGCCACAGAATCACAGAAAGGCTTGATTTGAAAGGGACTGTAAAGATCACATTCCTAACCTGCTGCCATGGGCCAGGGGACCTACACACTAGACCAGGTTGCTCAGGACCCCATCCAGCCTGTCCTTGAACACTGCCAGGAGTGGGACATCCACAGCTTCTCTGAGCCACCTGTGCCAGTGCCTCACACCCCTCCGGCATAGTATTGGGTCCACTTTTCTCCCACCCTTCCTTGATAACCAATTAGCTTAATATCTTAATGGACAGCAAATCTCATGTTTATGTGTAAAGCAGCAGCTTTTCCTGTTGCTTGGCCACAGCATGAAGCTGTTCTCTGGTTCATATATCACCTTACCCAGGTGATACCAGTGAGTTTATATTTGGGTTGAATTAGCAATTTTGGTTCAGTTTAGTGCAGCTGGTGGTGGTCTGGAAACTGATACAGCTTGCAGACCCATGGACAGAATTGCAGTGCCTCTCTTTGGAATGGGATGGAACCCTGTGCTGGGAAACCTAACGACTGAGCAAAGTGGAGTTTACATCTTCAACAGAAAGCAGTCAGCCTAATGTCTTCCAGCCTTCTCTTGGTATGTGTAGCCTGCCCTTGCCCCAGAGTGTGACCAGATGATGTAGCACTAGATTGTCTTTCCACTGAAAACCACAAGAAAATGCTGCCTTCTCCTTCAGAACTGGAGCTCTGGGCTCCTTGCAGATATTGGCACTGGAGTTATGCAAGGAATCCCCTATTTGCCCTACCATCTCTGTTGCAAATAGGTTGGGCATTCTAAGATCCTGTTCATTGGAGTGTTGGGACAGCTGGATCCTTGTTCACTTCCTCTGCTCCATTCTTGGGAGCAGCAAGATCATCTGCTGAGGCTATTTTAGGTTTCTGAACATTGCCGGTGTCCCTCTGAGCTCCTATTTGTGTGCAATCCTACAGCTTCCTGCTAAGATCTGTGTGAGAATCCTGTTTCCTCATGTGTGAAGGTTTTGCTTGGGCACAGTGTCCCAGGGATTAGAAAGAACTTTGAATTCCTCACTTAGCTCAACATCTAACCCATATCAACTGTATCTGTGACTCTTTTTTGTAACCTTGAGCTCTGAACATCCCTTGGACCTTGCTTTGCAGATGCACATGTGTTGCCTGGTGGGAAGCAGGCTGCAGCTTCCTGACAGAAATGTGCATCCTTCTTTTTGGCAGCAGTTGATTCCTGTTGTCTCAGATGGGAGCATGCATTGCTGAAAACAGTCTTCCACAAAACCGCTAGGTGTGGAAATACTCCAAAGCCCACAGCTGAGTGAGATGAGATCCTGGTTCTGGCCATCTCTATGGTTGGATGGCTACTTGCCATCTGCCACCACCATCCTTCAGCGTGGCACAGGGTGGGGCCTCCTGCCCTTTCCCTTTTTGGTATACCAAAGACTTTTGGCTTCCATGCACTTTTTGGTTTCTACCTGCTCAGGTAATTTTTCAGCAGTGCTGAGCAGTGCTGACTTTCATGTTGAGGCAAGATGTGGCTCTGCAGTTTTGGCCCATCTTTATTTTTAGCTGTGTAAAGCATGGTTGATGGTATCAGAAGGAAGTTGCACGGCCTCTGGAGCTCCATGACTCATCCTGGATCAAGACCGAGGCTTTGCTAGCTTCTGCTATAACCCTCAAGTGATGTAACTGGTTGTGGGAAAGGGCAGAACAGAGAGAGAAGCAGAGCTTTTAGAAGGTTGGGTTTTTTTTGCTTGCCTGCAAATTGTTGAATTTACATGTTGAAAGATATTGACAGGTATCACCCCCGAGTGTGGTTAAAGAGAGTCCTTTGTCTTCCCTTTGTGTCTTGTGCCTGTGTAAGAGAGGTGAAAGGGAGACGAGCTCTGCTTACCACGCAAGCTGGATAACTGTTTAGTGGCACGTAGCAACGGTAGAGAAGAGTTTTTGAGGCAAGAAACAAAGCAGGATCCCGTCTCTGATTTAAGCCACAGTGAGCTTTGGCGCAGCAGTACAGACCTGCCTGAAGTGGAAACTGTCAGGAACTGGAGAGCAGAGGCTTAAGAAGTGCCTGCCAGGATGCAGCAAGAAAAGTCTGATACCCCCATTCCCATCAGATCTGGTGCTACTGCAATGTAGAAAGAGCTCCTGGGGCTTTCCAACCTGCAGGCAGATGTGCTGGACTGGACTGGAGAGGGGCTGCAGGTCACCCCCATGGAGCAGGCCCTATGGAATAGGTGAGGATGTTGAAGCATCCCTGCCTGCCACAGCACAAGGGAGATGCAATTTAAAAGGCCTCTACTCCCCGAATCTGTCTGTGTGGCCCTCCTGTGCCTTGCCTTGAGAGTAGACAAGGTGGGGTGCAATGCACCTGGGTCCAGAGTAGGGTCCTTGCACCTGAGGTGGGGCAGGGATGACGGTTTGTGGAATGGGCTTCTACCTCTACCCACTTTCCTTCCTTTCCATACTGCCTTTAAGGAGTATGTTGAGGCTTTTGGTGTTTCATATGTGGGGCAGCTGGGAGAGGATAAGCAAGGGGGAACAGAGATGGGAGATAAGGGAGCATGCTGGAGGGTGTTGCTATGACAGCTTGCCACTGGCAGCGTCACTGACAAGGCAGAAAAGCAGTCGGGCAAATGTGGAAGGTGTCACAGCTCTCAGTGCAGCCCAGTCCCAGTAATGCCATGGCCCTGGCACCCCTGGACTCCTGCCTGACAATCTGGCATCTGGAGCTGTTCTCCTCTGGCAGCAGCTTCATGGTGAGTGGTCAGGGGTATTTGGTCCATCTTCTCCCCTCTTTTGCCCCTTGCTGGGGTGTGGGCAGGCAGCTCCTGTTTTACAGACCTGTTTGTTTTGAAGCCCTGAGCTGCAGAGCAGGCCCAGCCAGGAACAAACAAGTCTCTTGATCCCTCTCACTGTACCATGGAAGAAAGCAAGTCATTCTGCTGCCCCTGCTTATCCTCAGTTAATCAACATAAGTGGCTCTAGCCATGGCTGCATCTTCCCAGGATGTCTGGCCCTGTGCTGTGCTGTTCCATCCACCTTGCACAGCCAGTCTGCCTCGCTCCCTGGTATCTGTACTCAGGGAGAGTAGACACTTTTGTGACTCCTCTGGTATGGTCTGAGACTGTCCTCTGGAGCAGACACAGGAGAAGTTAAACATTTTTGAAGCTGCCTTTGGGTAGACCCCTTACCAGATACTGTTGGTGAAGGAGAAATCATGCACTCACTAGCAGAGGGAATGGGCCAGGAAGCCGTCTCCAGCCTGGCCATAATGTGAGTGTGACTGAGACCTGACTTGTCATCCATGATATGCCTAAAGGCCTGGACGTCAGCCAGGGAAAAGGACCTGCTGGCAGCAAGCACAGTCTGCTCATGTCAACATGGATGGCTGTGTGAGCAGTAAACCTCTCTCATTACACCTCTCAAAGGTCACTGCTGGCAGTGAGCTACAGCACCCTGCCCACAGCTCTGTGCCCAGCCAGAGTGAGAAGTGAACAGTGCACTTGGGGATGTATGGAGGCTAGTTGTGTGGGCTTGCCATGGGGTGGTACACACTGCTCTGGTGCCTGTGACCAGAGTCTTTCTGGGACTAGGGTGTTCAGTCAAAAATGGATAGGAAAGGATGCCTGTGAGCTACCCAAATAGCTCTGTACTCACAAATGTCATAATCCATGCCTGAGCTGTGACCCCTACTTGCCAGGGTATAAGGCCTCATGTATTGCCCTGAAAACCATTTCACTCTTTCCAGTATGCCCTAATGT